TTCCATTTCTGGTATACTAAAGGATATACAAGACCAATAAAAAGTTGTGGGACTAGGTGTCCTGCACTATAACAAAATAATATTTCGTTTTTTTTTTTTTTAATTTGCAAATTACGAATTCATTTCCATTAAAATCTTTCACTTTATCAAAATACTTCCACACAAAACCATGTGTTACGATCCGGTTTTTTAAAGGTCTTCTGGAACCACCGCTTAAATCATTGGAACTTGAAGCAAATGAACTATTGGACCTTGTATTGGAAGTGTTTATTCCTTCGCACGTAAAATTATCATCAACACTACTATTGTCATCATAATTATATTGATGATATTGATACTCTTCCGCATAGAAATTTTTCATTTTTGAATGATAAAACACAAAAATCGTAATCGGTCAGACAATAATAATATTAGCATAGTATTAGTATTAGTATTAGTATTAGTATTATTATTATTATTATTAGTCAACTAATTAGTCAACTAAGATAGTCGACTATTAGTTGTTCAAAAAAAAGCTTAGTCGACTATTTTAGTCGATTCCAACCTCTAACATATATAATTCTTGTGAAATATTATTTGGTTTTGACTCGTTTTTAATATTTAATTTTTTATGTTGGCAATTCCAATGACCTTTCTAAACACTATATAAGTGACAAAAATTAATCGAGTTCTTTTGTGCCAATTGCTATAAATGCCAAAAGAACAATGTCTTTGCATTTTTTTTTTTTTTTTTTTTTGAATAAATGAAATATATTATTATTATACGTATATAAATACAATAGCAACATTCGATATCGGCAGACATTAAATATAATACAAATTAAATTTAATATTAATATTAATATTAAGTATTAAATGACGTTTATTACGGCTTCTTAGCCTGTTTGAAAAAATTATTCGGTAATTTCCAAACGAAGAAGAAAAGGTCGTTGAGAATTAAGTCTAAAAAACTAAATATTAAAAAATTTTATAATAATAAAATAAGTAATGAAATAAGAAATATAATAAAGATATATAAATAGAAATAAAATGATTTGATTCGGAATTAAGGTACATATGTAAACTCGATAAGTCGGCCAAAATTTTCATCCCATTTTCTTAATATTTAAGTAATTTAATTCGATAAATCGGATTCGATAAGTCGGTCATGTGAGCTCACCCCACATGACCAACTTATCGAGTTTGCATATGTATTTCGACCAACAAATCAGCTTTAAATCCTAATTATAATAACAAAGCTTTCCTTTTTTTATAAATACTCTTACAGTAATCCTATACAATTTGAAAATCAAGAAAAACTTGACAAAAATTATCTGAACAAATCAAAATGAAATTCAATATTTCTCTTCTCTTTTTGATTATCTTTGCTGTTATGGCTTTAGCAAGCCCAATTGATAACAATAATTTGGCGAAGCGAAGTACTTCATTTATTATTATATTTACTTTACAATAAATATTATTATATTCGATATCATTGTTTTTGAAAAAAATACTAACTATTGGGTTTCAAATAATAAATAGTCCCGTAAGTATTTTTGTACTATTATTACAGTCAATATCATTGTTTTTGAAAACATATTAATTATTGGTTTTCATTTTATTCTAAATAATAAATAGTATAGTAAGTATTTTTGAACTATTATTAGTCAATATCATTGTTTTTGAAAACATATTAACTGTTTGATTTTCGTTTTATCTTAAATAATGGTTAGGTGGTAAGTAATCTCATCGTTTCACTATCATTACAGTCAATATCATTGTTTTTGCATTAACTATTGGTTTTCATTTTATCCTAAATAATAAATATAGGAAGTAAGTATTCTCATAATTTTACTATTATTACAGTCAATATCAATATTTTTGAAAACATATTAACTGTTGATTTTCGTTTTATCTTAAATAATAAATATAGGATGTGAGTATTTTCATCATTATTATTACTATAGTCAATATCATTGTTTTTGAAAACATATTAACTGTTGATTTTCGTTTTATTTTATGTAATAAATAGCCTGTAAGTATTCTCATCATTTCACTATTATTACACTCAATATCATTGTTTTTTTTGAAAACATATTAACTGCTGACTTTTATTTTATTTTAAATAATAAATATAGCCTGTAAGTATTCTCATCATTTCACTATTATTACAGTCAATATCATTGTTTTGAAAACATATTAATTGTTGATTTTCGCTTTATCTTAAATAATAAATAGCTGGTAAGTATTTGCATCATTATTATTACAATATTATTCTTGAAAAATATTTGATGATATTAACTGTTGATTTTTATTTTATTTTAAATAATAAATATAGCCTGTAAGTATTTGCATCATTATTATTACAATATTATTCTTGAAAAATATTTGATATTAACTGTTGATTGTTATTTTATTTTAAATAATAAATAGGGTGTAAGTATTCTCATCATTTCACTATTGTTACAGTCAATATCATTGTTTTTTTGAAAACATATTAACTGTTGATTTTTATTTTATTTTAAATAATAAATATAGCCTGTAAGTATTCTCATCATTTCACTATTGTTACAGTCAATATCATTGATTTTGAAAACATATTAACTGTTGATTTTCATTTTATCTTAAATAATAAATAGTGTGTAAGTATTCTCATCATTTACTATTGTTACAGTCAATATCATTGTTTTTGAAAACATATTAACTGTTAATTTTTGTTTTATCTTAAATAATAAATAGTGTGTGAGTATTTTTATCATTTCACTATTATTACAGTCAATATCATTGTTTTTTTGAAAACATATTAACTATTGATTTTTGTTTTATTTTAAATAATAAATAGTGTGTGAGTATTTTCATCATTTCACTATTGTTACAGTCAATATCATTGTTTTTTTAAAAATACTAACTGTTGATTTTTGTTTTATCTTAAATAATAAATAGTGTGTGAGTATTCTCATCATTTCACTATTGTTACAGTCAATATCATTGCTTTTGAAAACATATTAACTGTTGGTTTTCATTTTATTTTAAATAATAAATATAGATTGTAAGTATTCTCATCATTTCACTATTATTGCAGTCAATATCATTGTTTTTTTGAAAACATATTAACTGTTGATTTTCATTTTATTTTAAATAGTAAATAGAGAGTAAGTATTTCATCATTATTATTACAGCCAATATTAGCTTGAAAAATATTAACTGTTGATTTTCGTTTTATCATTATTATTACAGCCAATATTATTCTTGAAAAATATTAACTCTTGATTTTCGTTTATTTTAAAAGGTAAGTATTTTTATCATTTACTACCATTACCATTGTTTTTGTAAACATATTAACTGTTGATTTATTTTAAATAATAATAGGCAAGTATTCTCATCATTTACCATTATTACAGTCAATTGTCTTGAAAAAATATTAACTGTTGATTGATTTTCATTTTATTTTAAACAGAAAATAGCTCTTTGGCTCTTTGATAACTTCATTTATCTCTTTAACTTTATTTACTTTCATCTTATATTTATCTTTATAATTTTTATGTTAAGATTCATGCAAACTATAATGTTTATATTATAACATAGGAAGCGAACATAAATAAAACAGTTCATACACAATAAGTGTTTATTATAATTTGAAAAGATTTATATGTGTCAATTTAAATGGGAATGAAGTTACATCCGATAAAAGAGTTAAATGATGATATATACAGTGCGGATCATCTGAAATATTATGTGATCCACACATTGAATTTTAAAAAAAAATTTGTCTCAAATTTTCGAAAGTTATGCTTAGAAATACAAAAATAATTTTCGTGTTACAATATTTTAAATCTCACGACTAAATTTGGTAATGGATTATTTTTAATGTATATAATATGTTCGTTAAAACTTTTTTGTTGTGAATAACTTTTATTTTATTAATAATAAAAAAAAGGAAATGTAGAAAATATTCTATAAAAAAAGTTGTTACACG